TTTTTTTTTTTTTGTACAGCTCTACCTTCTAGAGGTTTCACTGCAATAAGTAAGTCATGTTCTAGGGACAGTGATCCTAAAAGGACGCCCCGCACATATCACGGCACAGCTGACCTTTCCTACTTAACATATTTTGTACAATATTTTAAAAATGCACAGCCACCATGTGGGGGGATCTGGGGTGCGTCTGTGAATCTTCACGAGCTGTGACGTGTTTTTACGTGGCCGCCTGAGGTGGAGCGGACAGCGTGGAGCTGGCCACAGGCTGCCCACGCTGGTCTCAGATGCCCAGTGAAGCCACTGAAGTGAGTGAGGGAGGGCTGTGGAGAACTTTGCATTTTCTCTCCATCAATAAAGTGGCCTTTCTGAACGAATGTCCTCTCTCTCTTTTTCCCTCCACCCCATCCCTTGCCTCCCCTGTGTTGCCCTGATTTTTGACTCTCCCCTTCCCAGTCACTTCCTTCCACCCATCCCCTGTCCAGTCCAGGTGATGTTTTCTTTGGTTTGGTTTGGTTTTTTGCCCACCCCTCAACTCATTTGCCCATGAAATGAAACTGACTGTTGCAGACGGTCAGAAGTCAGTCGTTAACAAACAAGCGGCAATCTCTCTTCCTCCTGCCTTGCTCTGACACTATCCTGTGCAACATATCCACATATGTTGCACCACCAGCTACATCAGAATCACTTGGGCAAGCTTGTTAAAAATAACACACTCCTGGCCCTGGCTGGTGTCGCTCAGTGGTTAGAGCGTCAGCCTGCGCACCGAAGGGTTGCTGGTTCTATTCCTGGTCAAGGGCAGACACCTGGGTTGCAGGTATGTGTCTCTCTCACACTGATGTTTCTCTCTCTCCTCTCTCTTTCCCCTTCTCCCTCTCCTTTCCACTCTTTCTAAAAATCAATGAAAAAATATCCTCAGGTGAGAATTAACAAAACAACAACACAAAGAAATACACATTCCTGGACCCTCGCCCAACCCAGGTGGGCCCAGGCACCTGCTTTTTTCCATGTTCCCACTGTCAGTCTTATACACACTGCAGTTTGACAGGCCAGCTGGTATAATGTGAGTGAAGCCACAGCAGAGATGGAAGCATCCTATTAGAAAGTCACACAGGGAACACTCATGCACAGCCCTCTGCAGGCCACTGAGGACCATCGGGGTAGGTGTGATGGAGGGAGTGGAGCCCCCTTCACTTGGCTGCGGAGACTTTCCCCCACCTCCCCACTGCAGTCATCAACTTGCTGTTTCTCCTAATGTAGAAGGAACCTACAGTGGCATAAAGTCCGCCAACATTCTTCACACGGCTTCCAGGGCTTTCAATAGCCAGGCCTCCCTCCAGGTATCCAGCTCAGGGCTTTCTCCTTGCCCAGGTGTCACCTGTCTACCCCAGTGTCTGACGCACTCTCCATGAAATTCCATCCCAGGCGTTAAAGGATGGTTTTGAGGTTTTTTCAAATGAGTACCAACTTCTTCAATCTATTGCCACATGTCTAAGAGCACAAGGATTGTGTCCTGTGCTGTGCCTGTGGCGCTAATACCTGCACAACTCAGAGCTTTGAGTCAGCTGCAGCCCTCGCAGACACCACCTGGCAGGAGCGAGGGAATGGATGACCTGACCTGGACAGAGTGACCCATCCCGTTGGCCACCGCAGTTAGACCAGGGATAGGCATGGCATCCCAGCTGGGCCAGAGCCCTTCCCATGCATTAGCCACCTGAAGGTTAGAGTAGATTATCACCCCGGCCAGTTTGGCTCAGTGGTTAGAGTGTTAGCTGGTGGACTGAAGGGTCCCAGGTTCAATTCCGGCCAAGGGCATGTACTTCTGTTGCAAGTTCTGCCCCAGTTGGGCCTTGTGCAGGAGGCAGCCAATCAATGTGCCTCTCACATTGATGTTTCTCCCCTTTCCACTCTCTCTNTGTTGCAAGTTCTGCCCCAGTTGGGCCTTGTGCAGGAGGCAACCAATCAATGTGCCTCTCACATTGATGTTTCTCCCCTTTCCACTCTCTCTAAAAAGCAATGGAAAAATCATCAGGTGAAGATTATAAATAAATACATACAAAGAGTAGATTGTCTCTTCCCAATGCTACCATGTAGCCATGATTCCAGCTTCTGGGGCCAACCCTGCAGAGAGAAGCAGATGCACAAGTAGGGCAAAGAAGGGGTGCCCTTGGGGCCTGAGTTGATTGACACCAAAGGTCAAATGCATCCTCTATTTGTAGTCTGCCTGCTGAACTGAGCCAAGAGTGCTCAGTAAAGACTTGAGGGTCATGCAATGGGATTTATCCACTTGGTCACGCCTTTCTCTGTGTTCAGCGTTCCGAGCAAAGGCTAGTCCCTCACATCCCGCAGCAGCAGCTTCGTGAGGCAGAGCTCCAAACGCTCTCCTTGCGAATGGCAAAGGCCACATGGAGCAAATCCGCCTGTCAGAGAAGCATGTGCCAGCGTCTCTTGAGCTGATGGAACCCTTGTGGGGAGAACCAGACCACCTTTTCCGAAGGCAGAAGGCCCTGTGTCTGCCGGGCATTGGGTTCTCTATGAACAGTCACTGGCCAACCACCAATACGTCCTGTTGTTTGCAGAATAAATAAATTTACACATGTATTCGTGCACACGTGTTCTCTGGAACCTTCAGGAAATAAGCTTAGAAGTGTGGAATGCCCTGCCCAAGGTCACTCTGATAATAAATAGCCCGAGCTAGGATGCCACCCGCTCTTCAGACTCCAAAGTTTCTTGCTGCAGTTCAGCTCTGGCTTCTGTTACGCAGCGTTGTGGTCATGTAAGGCCCTAATTGAAGGGACTTTGACCGTTTGGTTTTCAGGAATGAAGCCAGGAAATCCTATGGCTTCTCTGCAATGGGAATGTGGAGAAAGGGTGAGTAGGGTGCCAGCCTGAGGAAAGACACTCGGCAAACCTCGCTGGATGTGACTGTCTTGTTCCTGAATCAGTGGTTGCCTTCTGACGACTAATCTGCAGCTGCCCAGGGTCGGCTGCCTCCTGGCGCACTCTGGTGCCTGGTGAACCGAGTCAGGAGTCGGGGTGCTCGCCGGCGATCTGCGCTTCCTGCCCGAGGGAACGAAGGAGAAAGGTTTGTGCAGTTAACTGCTAATCAGGCCAAAGCCAAGCTGGCTTTTCTCCACTCCCACCACAGCCTTGGCACTTCCAGCTCCTCCTGCCCGGCAGGCACACCCTGCCACTGTGCCCATCCCGTCTTTACACGGCCGTCTCTGTAGCACTATTCAGATCTCGGCTCAAGCCTCACGCACTTGGAGAGCCGTCTTCACCCTGACCCTGGGCCTGGCCATCCAGCTTAGCCTCCCACAGGGCACTCGGGCACAGTAAGCTGATGTGTTGCCCTTAGAGGATGTTCCCTCTAGAATGTGCGATCCTACAGGGACCTTGCTTGCCTTGTTTTCCGTTGGAGCTGATGCAAAATGGGTCCTTAATAAATCTCAGTTGCGAGATGAATGAAGGACATTAAATGCCTGCCCCGGAGGTGAGTCTGGTCCCCTCTCCTTTGTCCTTCCCAATCGGGGTGAAGGTTCTGGGTGGAACAGGCGTCTCGCTCGCCTATTTCTCCGCCACTGCCAACGCCCGATTCCCCTCCTGTTTTCAAATAAATTTAGTTCCTGCCTCAGCTGACTTGCATTTGCTACCTCTGCCTAGAACCCTCCCGTTCGTTCAATTAGGAAGTTTTTGAGCCATGGCACGCGACAAGTTCCGCTCTAGGTGAAGGGCCCGCCAAGCGGGGCTCTACCTCGGGGTATAGGAACCATTCTAAGGGCTCTGGGCCTGGACACGTTAGGAGAATCCATTTCCAGGCGCTGAATTTTTATATTATCTTCCCTACAATGGATTTGTCTGTAAACTCAGGTACCCAGTTCTCTTCCCATCCCCTCTCCCACAAGGAAAGACAACAGNCATCTTCCCTACAATGGATTTGTCTGTAACTCAGGTACCCAGTTCTCTTCCCATCTCCTCTCCCACAAGGAAAGGCACAACAGCCCCGCCATGGCCCTGGGTGCGAACTAATGGGAGCTGAACCAGGTGCCGCAGGGACGTATTTCTCCTGAGGGTGCCTCCCGTGAGCACCAAGTACAGGGAGCTTAATAAGAAGATGGCCCTTACTACCTGCTTTATCTTGGTGGACAAGTCTGTCTGCTGATTTGTCCATCCACCAACTCTCATAATTTAGAAATAAGGTGTCACAGGAACACATAGTAACACTTAATTGATTTAAAAGATAAAAATAAAGGCAAACTTTAGATTAAAAAATTAAGTAACAGTTGGATTATTTCATTTGACACATGGTGGACATTTTCCATCAATTGGATGTGCTAAATTTNAAAAATTAAGTAACGGTTGGATTATTTCATTTGACACATGGTGGACATTTTCCATCAAT